AGCGCGTGCAAATGACGTGTTCTGTCCACTTGAACAGGCATGACGCGTTAAGTTTCCCTTTAACTGTCCATTTGACACTGTCTAATGATATGCATGACGCGTACACTGTCCTATTAGTGCTCAAATCGGGCTGGTGATAACCAATCATGTTCGAGAATTTTGTTATGGTTTTGATTAATATTATGAATAAAATATTGTGGTCATACAAAAAACACAATTTACTACGACTTTCATCACTACCTTAGTTACCTAATGATTTAGCGAGTTCTCACTTATTTTACTTAGCCTTTTTCTATTATTTATCAGCTGTTGTTTGAGGCAAATGCCTCTGGCCAAGTGATTGCCATTGATGATATCAGTTTCACCAATAGCTGCTAGGTAAGAGCTCACTTCGGTATAATATTGAGATATTTACGTGGACTTTTGATTCGTAAGTCTTAACAAGGGTCACATAAAGGAGCCTGGTTGGAATCATAGCTTTTCTCTTCTGTTGTGCACTGTCTTGTTGCATCAAATGTGAAGACGTTTTAGTCTTCTCGGATGAGGAGGAGAAACTGGATCTACTCATTACTGGTAAGCTGAAGACGTTAAAGAATCCGCACACTTTTCGTAAAGAGTAGGGAACGTAGCTCCCTGGCCTGGCAGGCGTTTTGGTCTGGCCCTGACTTTGAAATTGGGGGTAACTGCAATATAATCCTTCAGAAATTGTTAACTGCTCTATGCAGTCTGGCCAAAGAGTTGTAAAGCGCCATAAGCTAATGGATATGGCGCTATAGAAATCCGCAATTAATTAACTACTGAATTCCTTTTAACAGTTTCAGTTCACAACTCATTGGGACCTCGCTTGTGTCCGTTGCTTTATTTTCGCGATTGCTCACATAAGAGCAGGTTCTGAATCTTAAAGTTGGAACTCTATCTATCTAAGAAATGAACTATATTGAAAAATGTATATATAAAAACTCTTCTTCTCCTTTACTTTTACGAGAGAACAATTTTATAATAGTGGATCATTACAAACAACAATGACCACTCGTGATTGGCCTTTTCCACCAAGTTTTGCTTGATTAAAACACTATCAACGTTGGAATGATTAGATGCTGGACTTTTCTTGTTTCATCTTTAGGATGAGAACTTTAATGATTATAATTTTATAATGATTATAGATTTAAAAAAGATTACTTTGAAGCAAGAGGGATGAGTTTCTAAGTTTCTTTCACACAGGGTACCGGATACTAGTCTTAGTTGAGTGTTATTTATCCTAGTGAGTCCTCGCCAACCATCCTTAAAAAGCCAAGTTAATCGTTTTTAATCAACAGATGCTGAGCTTGGGAAATAAAAGTGTTTAAATGAAAAAATTTCAATGTTTTTCTATGCAAATGATCCTTTCATGTTCCCCTTAAGGTTGGTACAACCTTTGGACCAAAGAAGATTATAATCCATCACGTTCTATGAATAAATAATTTTCGGAGGTGCAATTAATATTTTCAAGCAAATGTTGGGGTTTTATCCCGGGATTAGATGTGAGAGCTTTCATACCCCAGAGATTAAGCAGAAGCCCAGAATACTTTGAATTCGTGAATAAAGTTTTGAACCTAATAATCTGTGAAAGTTTGAAAGAAACAGGTGGGATGACATCCTACACGGCTTGTACAATTTGTACACAATGGTCGCGGCCTACGGCACAGGCGGGCCGAAGTTGGGATTACTTACTTATAATGTTTCAAGACGAGTACCCTGGCGACTTTGCTAGTTTAATCAATCTTATTCCAGAAAGAAAACCACGAATTGCAGAGGATCAGAAGAAAAAGCATCGTGTTATCGTGAGATTTGTTTCATACATTAACCAAAATGCAACCGTGGGATACTTTTTCCGTTTGAGTAAGCCATCATGAACTTATTGAATATGAAAGTAGTTTGAGTCAGAAAGAAAAAAAAAGATTAATTCGGTCAAAAAAAATCATCCCTTTATATTTCGGTCAAAAGAAGAAAAAAAAACAAAATGACAGAATACTACTTTCTTTCCATTATTTTAATAGCTTGTGATGAAATCTCTTTACTTGCATGGTCATTGGCCGGGTTAAATTAGATCTTAATAGCAGGTGCCGTCCTTAATTGTGTAAAATTTCGGCGTTTTCATGACGGACAGAAGACGATCTTTCAAGCGATAATACTTTTCATGAGTCTGTCGATGTTATTTGTAACTATTTTGCGCTTTTAATATGCATTATATTGAAAGTATCAACGATGCAGCTGTCGACGGTAATTTTTCGAGTAATGAGAACTCTCACGAATGTGGGAAAGAAATAGGGATTGGAGTTTTGCACATTTTGTGTTAAATATTCTTTCCAGAAATTTTTTTCGGACTTAATGCTTTGATTGAACTAGTATGGCCCGAGCAAGTTGGCGACTTTCGGGGATAAACGTTTTGTTACAACGATGGACGGAATTTCAGTTTTATCGCCCAGATATCTGTTAGGCGAAAACTAACGCGATTATCAAGAAATAATTTTCTCTTTAAAGCTTTCAAATTCTTCAGTCTTCCTCCATTTTTAACTCGTGAATTGCGCGCATGCGCAAGAGCGAGTTATAGATACGATGTGGGGAATGGCATTCGCTCGCTCGCTCGCTCGATTGGTCGATTCCTGTAAACTTTTTTTTAGATTTTAGGCTTTTGAGTGCATTTGATAGTTTTTGGCGAGCAATAAACAGACGAAATGGCGACCTTTGTTGCTAAGAATAGTGGTGGGGTGAAAAAAAAAGCCAATAATAAACTTAAAAGAGTTTTTTTTTCGGTTTTAGTTTCAACAAGCGGCGCCAGCGACTGGCAGGCATGCAAGGATTCACACTGAAATAACAGAACAACCTTCGTTTTTTCATAAAATTGTAATTAATTATTATTTACAATCCTTGGACTTGAAAACAATCTGAAGATTCATTGAAAATATCACTTACTGCGAAGTGCTCGGAGTTTACAGATGTTCAAAAGCTTTTTCTGTCATAGCGTGAGATTGAGGACAAAATTGATCATTACGTTTCGTCGCGTGTGTTTTTCCTGTGTGAAGCAACAGAAGATGCCGGCGACTGACGAAATAACAAGTTAACACGAAAATCAAATGACACCTAAACAAACAATTTTAGCTACCGATTTTCAGTGAATTTTTAAAGAACAATTTTCTTTTAAGTTTCAAGACAATTTGAAGATTCAACATACATACAACGTACTAAAATGCGAAAGTTACACACCAAAAAATTGATAAATAGGCCTGAAATGAAATGCTATCTTGTTATTGATTATTCCTTTGCCTAGCACGTGACTTAAATCTACCCAGGCTGAGATCCAAAATGACGGTGGCAGGCTTGGCTTAGTTATATCACTCAAAACTCGTTCTCGTTTGTCTCATTTGATAAAGAGGGAATCGTTAATGTTTTCATTAAGACAGTATTGCCTTGATTTTCTAATATTTACAACGAAAGACAGTAAATTTCACTTTTCACCCACATTTACTTCCAACCTTTTCTTTTGAACCAGAAAAAAAAATGATAGACGTTTAAAACACATGACATCATCCACCTTGTCAAATGTAATAGCATGATCATTTCAATTGTAATGCCTTCTTATCCCAACGTTACTTTGTTTCTTTGCTACATTAGCGAACACTGAACTACTGCTCGTACTCTAGATATGACAATCAACCACAAAATTCCCTAAACCAGATAACATTAAACATAATCTAAAAAATCATGTGTCAATTCACGAGTTTGCTCACAGAGCACTTTGATTAGCAAAGTTATCTTTTACATCGGAGTGCACATTTCCATAATTTCCAAGAATTCAAGACTCTGCGCCAACTTTGTAGGAAAAAAAAGTCATCAACGCTAAAGCAAATTAACGCAAATTACCACTTTAGCGATGCCACCTGTGTCCCTTCGTTGACATATCTAAATACTTCCTTCTATTGTCATAGTTTTAAATGAAACGACAAGACATTTGATTCAAACGGAACAGCCTTAAAAGCCACACCGTTCAAATTATATCATCAATTTACGTACTATCAATTTATCCAAATCTGCTCCAACTGTTATTTTTTTTCCTTGTTATAAATTTCGATTTTTTTCTTTTCTTCCGGAAATTCTTCAGAATTAGCCCTTTTGCCACAGTCTTGTCAGAGTTGATATGTTGTTGAATTTTAATCGAATTGCACAAGTCGGTTATTTAAGTTTGTACCTCTCTCTTTTTCAGTAGTCGTGCTTGTGAAGCTTGCACTATTTGTACCTGATTCAATTGTCAATCTGGACTCCTGCAAAATGGCTCACTTACATAATTACAGGGCGACATTTTGATTCTTTTCAGTTTTATCTTTGATGTCTATCAGTGGATTCACGCAACGGGAGCAAACGACACGCAGCCATCTAATTCTTGTTCCAGTCTAAGAGAAATTTCGACATTCCAACAACAAGTAAGCCGGGAATGTCGAAAAAACTTTTACATATAGTTTCGTTTCGAAAGCACAATTTTGTAGCCATGGCCAAGCCAATGTTTTCATAGCCTGACAGAAAGAGCATACGTTAGCCTAACATCAGTCGACAGCATGAAATGAAACTAAGCTTGCGTAATAGCCTTGATGTGTCGACTGTAGAAGAAATTTGATATCAGTGGTATCTTAGCAACAGGTGTTCTGCATGTGGATTTAGGATAGATGGATATTTTTTCATCAAAGAATATTAATATAGATGAGATGAGAGTGTCTTAACAACCAGCCCAATGGCCTCAAAAACTGATTAGTAGAAATAACTGTAAGACAACGCGGTAGCCTTCTTCGTGATTTCATCTAATTTATCTTTATGATCAGGATGATTATCCTGAAGCCTACGCGCCCTGAGACCTGCTGAGTGCAAAGAGTGCAAGAAGTTGAATTAAACCATTAGCGTGTTATTGCTTTAAGTCCCAAGTGTTTAAAAGAAATGCATCTTACGGTCAAAATTCAAAGGTTGAGGTAACAATCAGACCAGAGAGGAAGACAAGGGTGAGGAAATACTTTCGTCTGGTTATTTATTTCAATGCTATCTGCTGTAGGTTGCCTTCCATTCTGTGAAAAATGATAGCATTTAAGAAGTTTTTCATGTTAACAGGCTGACAGTTTCGTGGAATATCGAGATTTAAATGCACGCAGTAAGTTTTTAGAACACGAGAGATTTAGATTGTCCTGAGGCAAAATCGCTTTCCGACGAAAGAGCTAGCGTAAGTGACTGCGCCAGAAATTTCAACTCGATGAAATCCCAAAGCTAATTTTCTAGAGGATGAAAATAGGTTTTTGGGTAACCTTCTGTATTATTGAACGACTCACAGATCGATCTACTGAAGCTCAACCTTCGTCGACTGTTATATATTTTATTGTTTTTCTTTTTTCTTTCAAATCTTATTTCCAGAACTTGAATATGGCTATGACGACCTGGATTGTTCTGTTTCTTTCGCTGTCAGCTTTGGTGCAGAAAAGCTTCGAAGGTAACAAGATAACGCACAGAGAATTAGTTAATGTGAATGTTTATTAGCGGGTGTTTTCAGATAAAATCATAAGGGGGCTTAACTCCGATAAACTTATGAAAAGTATCATTTGGAAGGTAAAACCGTCACTCCTTAGTATTTTTGAGCCCCTCAAGTGTGGCTCTGTGTGGAAATAATTTTGATAAGCCCGCTCGCTTGATCAGAAATGATAAAATGCCTTCGTATATCCTGATAACTGAGGAACGGGGGGAGGTAGTGAGATCATGTTCATAATGGAAAGTTCAGTTTTTATGCCTCACCGTAAAGTGAAAACCCTCAGAAGGTATCACCGGTAATACCATTGCTCTGACTATCTCTGCTAATAAGAAAATTCCGTATTGTGACCGGCGAGCCCATCAGCAAATTCCTCTAATATGTCAGTTCCTGGTTGTAGTACGCTGTAGTACGAGCAGTGGTAATAGTATTCTGTAATAGATTTCTTCTTTTAAGTTCTTTAGTCACAAAGAAGAGCTTCAAATCTCTCCATTTGATCTTGAATTAAAGCGTGCAGTCACATGTAGTTTAAAATAGAGAACGTTGTTCATTTTTACTTGTGATAACTCGTCGAAGTGTAACTTCGAAGTGTAACCGCGTTAATGTGGAAGTGTTTTCCCTAGGCAAGATAATCGCACGAACAAGTTTTTTGCAGTTATTCTCGGCTAGAAATGTAACTGTGTTTTTGGAATGGAAATTACCATCCCGAAATCAGTAAACCTACCTGTAAAGTCCTATGACAAGACACTCTCGAAGAATATTCATGCATTTTATTCTTTTGAATAGCGAAACCGACAGCGATCTAGAATTATGTTGAAACAGTCAAAATAATAACAAGCATGACCAAGCAATGGTACTTACTATGACTAGCATCCTTTTTCAGAACAAAGCATATGTACTAGTGAAACAGATGTAGTGTTCATCGTGGATTCCTCGGCAAGCATTCATATTGACAATTTCAATAATCAAATAAAGGACTTTGTGAAGAGGTCAGCAGCGGAATTCGGCGTTGCACCGGGCAAGAGTCGCGCAGCAGTTATACTATTCAGTGCGGATGCTGAAGTCAAGATAAAATTTGGTGACGCCCCAACCCTGAAAAGCTTTCAGGCAAAAGTGGACGACTTGGTGCACCAGGAAGGTGGTGCTACACGAATCGACAAAGCCCTGAAATTGGCAAAGGATCTGTTTATTCCCGAGCCGAAAGAGAGAAAGGGCGTAAAGAAGGTTGCACTCCTTCTTACTGATGGGAAACAAACAAAGGATTCGAGGAAAGACCTAGAAGAAGCATCTAAGCCTTTACACGACGCAAAGGTTGTTACGTTAGCCGTTGGTATTGGCGACAGCGTGGACGAAACTGAACTGAAGAAGATAGCTAAGAGCGAGAACGATGTGGTAATAACTAAGAACTATACAGACCTGCAAAATAAACTTCTGAGCATAATCAGCATTGCCTGTGATGAGGGTAAGTCCTTCATATATTAACTCTTTGAATTCACAAGTGATCAATCAGGAAATTTTCTCATAAAATCAGAACACTGTTTGACAAACATGTAGTAAGAATAAAGACAATGTTCAAAAGGGGAATATGAATTCTCAACGGTTATTGCTTGAGGGAAATTTTATACATATTGAAATGGAATTTATGAGAGTGTCACAAACACAATTTCTATAGTCAGAACACTCCCCAAAAATTTAAACAAATGTTGTGAACTATTTCGTATTTTCCTGCAATTTCGATAATCCTTTAGCCCGAGGAGGGTGAAATTCGAGACGCCCTAACAACTTACCATTCTGGGCATGCCAAAGCAACTCTTTGTTAAATGCCTGATCGATCTAAAGTTTGAAACGCGGGAAAGATGATCATCATGATATGCCAAACCCTGACTATTTCATGCATTCGCTTTATATTGAAAGATATGTGATAAGGCAGTATCGAATGTTTCTTGTTCTTGGAATCTATTTTTATGCAGTTCAAGAAAAAATTTTAGATAAACGGACAGAGCTCTATATATAGACTGCAAAATTATACGGGAAAGTACATATGTTTGTACCACGATTTTTTCTTGGCGTGCCTCTGAAATTCATAATAAATTCTCAATCTTAAAACAACAATCTATGTAAGAAAAGAGATTAAGGAAAATCCAGAGAGGATGGCAGATCATTGATGCAAAAATGTTGGAGATGTTGCATCATTGTTTGACCTCTTCGCAGGTAACTGTGCTTGCTTCAGCGGCTCATCATATATTACCGTTGAAAACTACGAGGATGAAAAGGCCCGAGAACAAGACGACATCCACTTTGAATTCAAGAGCTCCAAGCCGTTTGGAACAATCATGTTCGTTCAGGGTACCTATAGCGACCATATTTACGTGGGATATAATCATAACGACGAGCTGACGTACCGTGTGGACCTCGGAAAAGGTAAGGAGATTTTGTAACCGAGATGTAATTGACCGAACTTGTAATGTATGAGATTAAATAAACATTAAAGATATATTTGCATGCGATCCACTCTCAGCACATCGTTCTTAGAGCAACTCAGAAAAAGAAATAAGAAGAAAAAGTACTGATTTTAAAGAGCTTGAAACAAGATGCTTCAACATTCAATTTTAAAAACTGGTTGACGTAGTCACTGTGATTTGTTTCCAGGGGAGAGAGAAATAATGGCAAAGGGCGTGAAGCTGGACGACAACAAATGGCACACATTTCGACTTGAGCGAGTTGGACGTTCGTTCAAAATAACCATCGACAATGCAAGTAAACCACAAGGTATAAGAGATATAATTCATGTTATGAGGTCTAGTCAACAAGTTTTAAAAAAATAACATCAAGCGTAAGCCCTTTTGACGTTTCGTTTTCGTTTTTCACTGATGCATAGATTCGAAAGGTCTCCACGAATCACTATTGTTTATCCTATCATCCAGACAGAAATCAGTTGCTATGATTTATTCAGACTTTTTAAATAAATTTCTTCATTGGAGAAGCGATTAAGAATAAAGAACTGTTTCGAAAAGATCGTGTTAGTCTGTATTTCTACTTTCGATCAGCAAACTGATCAGCGTCCATCGTGTTCGTGCCGTAATGTAAATTGTGAATGAATGCATTTGAACATTAACAACACGTGTCTCAAGAACTGATCGTTGTAACTCAGCACTTGGTGCAGATGTTAATTATGTAATAATACATTTCACTTTCAAATTTGATCTATTTGAAATAGTTGTATTTGTAATCTTTCAATTTTTGCATTGTCATGCATTTTATACATGAGTCTTAGGATCAGATAGAGAAGATAAATGATTGAATAATCAATCAAGGGATTTCCACGAAGTAAGAGATTGTATCGTACTCAACCCATTTAAAATAGATCGGTAAGAAACAAACTTCCGCCTCATTTGACTCTTTTCAGTATTATTATTACTATTATTTTTTTCAGCTATCGGAGAAGTTCCCGGAGACTTCGACCGTCTCGATATAACAAAGGGTTATTTCTTGGGCGCGCCGAATTTTCCAAATTTTATTGGCTGCATTCGGGATCTCAAGGTTGATGGAGAAGCAATAATTGCAAATGCTGTCGGGGGAGCAAGCGGCTACTCAGTTACAAACAAGGATGAAATGAAATTATGCACCGAAAGTGACCAAGAGTAAGACTAAGCATTGCCACAAGGCAATTGATTTTAAAGTAAACTGAGAATATGTAATTGTAATTGTAAATGTAGCCGAAAGACAAGTGATCCAGCAGGAAATTTGTGGCAATTGTGCATGATTCTTTGCAACGAAAGCAATGTAATAAAAGCTACTAATCTATGCTATGATTTGATTGTTGTAAATAATTCATTTAACATGATCAAGACTACAGGTATACGCCAAATTGGCTTATGATATTGGCTCAGCGGTTTTTTTTCTTGAGTCGCGAACAAGGTATCAACGTGGCGGTACTTGGTATGCATGAGTGGCACTAAACTATTTCTAAATCTTAGCAATTTGGTAACTTAGTTGATAACGTACATTGGCCTCCGTAAAGAGTTTCCAAGCTTTGATACTATGCACTAAATTACCTTGTATACTCTCCCACCGACGCAGCACTACAGTTTCTTTAGAAAATTGCCCTCTTTATTTATTTTTATATCTTTTTATGAAAATTCTTCACTTGCAACCATTTACACGACTTATTTCTTAAGAGAGAAGCGAGAATTTTCTCACTGGGACAAGGTTAAGAGGCCTCGGAGCCTCCCCTCCCCCCTTTCTCCCCTCCCCCTCCCCTCCCTCTGTCCCAAGCACGGCCCAGAATATCTCATACTCTTCTATCAGTTCAGCTGTTTTGGTTCCCATATCCTCTTCAATTAACCTTTAATAGTTTTTTTTTTCAGTGAATTGCGTGATGTATGGAAACTGTCCGGATGTTTGATGTTTTCCTTTTGACAATTTTTTTTCTAATCCTAAAGCAGAAGCTACAAATCAGCGTTCTATAAAACTCATGAAAAATAGAACAAGACTTACATTTTTCTAAAGGGATCGACTGATATAAAAGATTAAAATTTGCTGTAAAGAAGAATGATTGATTTTTTCCCATAAGTGTCAAGGGATATTTAAAAAATTGGACAAATAAACTAGTTTAGCAAACAAAGATAAAACATTCAACACATTTCGATTTCCTTGCTGTTCATGTTCAGGATTTTTTTTTTCATTATTATGATATTTCTTCTTTTTTGTTAAGTTTTATTAGTTTTGTTTAAGTTTTTCATAGACGTCAAATCTGTAGAACATCTCAGAGAAAAAAACCGATAACTTTTGTTGTTTTGAAACGCTGCAAAAATCACTTGCACACTTTATTATTTTTTTTTTTTTGTTCTCTACGGATTCCTAACTACCTCCTGCTGAGGAGTCAAATTGGAATCCATTACACTGGGCGTGATAGCTAATTAGGTCAAATGCATTTAGCTCGGTGATTAAAAATGTAAGAAAAACATAAATATTGAAAGAGGACCGGAACTCAGAGGAGCAGAATTACAAGAGATATGGGAAACTGAAATTCATCGAGTAGCTATCACAAGAGGCATCCAATAGAAAGAAAATTGTTGGTATCTTTCGTTAATTATCAGTTAGATCCCAGTTATTGCTGTTCAGCAATTTTGATTTTGTAATTCCGTTTACAGAGGATGAATATTTATCAGCTTATATTTCACTGATATTCCAACCCGAAATCAATATTCCTCCATTGACAGCCTAGGGCTCATGTCACATAAGTTTTGGAGGATGATAAATAAAATTTTGTCTTCGGAGTATTCTTTTTTTGTTTATTTTTTTCCTAATTTAAGAAATAGTTCGGTCCTCAGTTGCTACTGGTGCTTAGTGCAATTTAATGCAAGAACCGAAGGAGAGCTGTTGGACTTCTCTAAGAAAATGATCAGAGATAGACATATGCAGAATGTGTGCGACAAAATTACTTCATTCGCAGAATACAGCAAAATAACAGGGAGGAATGGAATGTTCTCCAATTTTTATCTTCTTCCTTCTCTAGATGGCGAAAGTTTGTACTTTGGCCTCTTGACTCAGATTCTTGTGATTGAAAGAAGAAGGCGTGGATTGTGGGAAGAGGTTGATGACGCTTGCGTGTAAAAGGGGCGAAGTTCATGATCAGTTTTTGTGTCCTTTCGGAGTCACGGGCTACTGATTAAGTTTATTCAGCTTGTAGATCAAGAATACAACTCCCGATCATCATAGTTATCCTACATCAAGACGTCGTTAGTGATTGTTAGTGATTATGATCAAGTATTCCGACCGTCTGTTTGATTGCATGGAAGTCCTGTTCAGCATGGCAGTCCTGTAAAATCAGCTAGTGCGCTTGTTAGCTTGAGTTAATCTTTTCTGGTTTAACAGCATTTTCTCTTCCCTTTAAAGTTCCAGAAAGGTATACTTTTTTGAACACCAAGTAATACAGGTTATAATTAGATTTGAGTGTTTCCTGTAAAGAAGAAAAAAAAAACAATCTGAAGACTGGCTGAACCTGACCAAATTTGGAAACAAATTGCTTTTCTAAACCTATAAGTACACTTCTATGTTATTCAAAGTCTGTGATAAGCTTCAAAAGATTCAAAACAAAAAGACAAGACCATAAAAATTTGTGATTTACATAACAAAACATTTAGTCTGCCGTGAGCCTTGCCCGTTGCTCGAGTTTTGACCCCGCTTTCCGGTAAGTTTCATAACGCCCTCTTCACTCCAGAAAGTTCAATTTGGACTAAAAGTTATATTTGGTGTTAGTTGTTTAAAAGTACCCGAAAGGAGCCGTGAAGAAAGAGTTCATTCAGAGGCTGACACGACAAGACAATTTAGCCTTCAGACGTTTGGAGAATCTGTGGTGAAGCCGATAAAAGGTTAGTACGTAGTCTTACTAATGTTTAGTGAAATCGCTATTGTTTTGCCCTTCATGCCTTCAGTTGAGTAATATTGGTTGTCAGTAATGATCGCGTCTCTAAGTTTCCTGCGTATCCTGTAGTATCCGACTGTGGTAGATCTAGTTAGAGCATTGTTCCTCTCTCATATGTCGAGCTGAATAAACAAACTTGTGTCGATAACAGAAATCCTAGATTACTCTAAAGATGTTTCTGGATGCCAAACTAGTTTGTCGTTGTCTTTCCGCGGGACAAATAAATTTTAAAGGGAAGCATGTGAGCAAGGGCGTTCCTACACCATCCTTCAACCAGTTAGAATTTATTCATAGTGCAGTTGTTTGGTAGAATGCTTTTAAAATTTTCATCTCCAAGAACTCACCACACTGTAAAGTTGACATTTAGTGTTTAGGAAGTTTTATGGCTGGATTTTTTGCTTACGAAAACATCACCGGGTTTAATAATTGTAACTTGTTATTCATCGCGTTGCTTTTAACTTAACTGCGTGGCGTCTGGTGTAATGATAGTACCAATAACAGAAATTTGAATATAAATGACACTAAATGAACCCTGAAGTAAAGATCTATTTACGTCAATAGAAAATAATGTTTAACTGCATTTGATGTTGTTTAATTGCGTAACGACTCCATAAATCTCTGTACTGCACTCGTACTGTGCGAGTTTCATTAAGTTTTTCACATTTGTATACGAATCCCCAAGCTGGGTTCGATTTTGTTTAATACTGTAATCTCGTAATAACTATGCTGTAAAGGTTAGTATTATGGCATTCAAAGAGATCATTTGTTCATATCTTCTCTAAACAATACGCTAAAGTTGCATTGTTTTGGCCTGAGGGTGAATTTCAAATTATATAACCTTCTCGCATCCCACTGTCACCGTCGTGAAGTACTCAAAGTTAAATCAGTACAAAAATATTTTTTGATGTCATTACAAGGCAATATTTTGATCAGACAGGGACACGCGAACAGTTTCGGACTTCAATGCTTTTCCTAACAGATCCAAAGTATAGATTTTTGCGCCAGGACATTTAGTGTACAAAGTTAGGTTTAATTTTGGATTTTAATGCCAAACTTTCATTTCATGGCCTTGCTACTATATTCTTGTTATAAAGTTCGTACTGAGTTGTCGAGCTTTTACAGAAAAACTGAGGTTAGATGGCGTGACAATGATAATTTGTCATCTCTTTCACTGCGTTATTTCCGGCTTACCGTGTGCCGCTGTCTAACTAGTATGAATTTCCTGTCAGCTCATGAGCATTACGCAATTGTAATCAAACCTGGAGTTTGTTTTGGGTGCATCCGTTCGAAGGAAAGTTCTGCTAACTAGCGGGACACGTTTCGCCCTTCAGTCTCACTGGTCAGTCATTTAATTCATATTTGTTAATTATTTTAAGTATATAACGACATATCTATGCTTCTGCTCGAGTCTCATTTTTCTTTGCTTTTGTTTTTTTGAGAAAACATTCCTGCACGGAAACGAGTGATATTAAAATGAGGTGATCATGAAACTGAAAACTTTCTATGAAACATCTCCTTATAACGTCCATTTTAGGACTAGATAATTTGGCTCTATTAACTGAGTTGATGATATATCTATAGGCCATCTTGCAGAGTTTCAGAGTTGACATTTCGAGGGTTAGCCCTTCGTCAGAGCGAAATTTTACGACTCGTTTGATATTCAACCTAAAGTCGCAAGACCAAAGCAAAAATGGCTGAAAATCTGAAGGAAAAACTACATGTCTGTGTTTGTGTTCACTTAGAGCGCCATGGTCAAAAATGAATTCTTTTAGAGTCATAGATGGGAGGAACGTTTTAACGCTAGAAACAAATGTACTTCCTCTTTACTTTACTTAAAATAGCAATTACAGGGGTGCCAAAAAATTAAACTTATCTGTAGGGAGTGTGTGAGAAATCCACCTGACTGAAAGTAAAATCGGGGGTCATTTCTTTCTATAATGCTGATGTGGTTGTACGTACAACAAACTTGATCGTGTGGGTGAAAGTGCACTTGTAACTTGATACCTTGTTCGGCCTTTGTACGAAGATCAAAAACAAATGGAGCTTGGAATATAAATAGAAATGACGACGCCTTTCTGTTTTTATAATTCATTTTGTGGAACGAGATGATTTTCGCATATTTCAATTGGTATTCCTCAGTAGCGAAGTCTCAAATAGTTTTTCGTAAGTTTTCATTTAACTTTTTCAGCATCACTTTCACTCAAAAAAACTTTAGTTAAGTTGAAACCGACTATCAAAAGATGATCCATGTCCTCCTAAACTATCTTATTTATTTCTATTGCACCCCATGAAAACATTACTAGTTCGGTATCCCTTTACAGAAATAAGCTTATTTACTCTTCCGCCGAAAGTTCAAACAACGCTATTTTTCTCCGCGCCCGCTGTGTCTGAATGGAAGAACAGGAAATTCTTGCTTTTTTAGGAGACTTTAAGGAGCCAGTCGCATAGTTGACGCTTGTACCATGGGAGAGGATGGGTGGGCCAGTCGCATAGTTGACGCTTGTGCCATGGGAGAGGATGGCTCCTGTGGTCCACGACTCAATGTTTTTCGAAATTGATCCGGATTTAATGCGCTTACTGGTGTGCATGGCAGCAACAAATTTCATCAGTTTTTGTCTTTTCTGGGTTATCTTATGCATCGTAAAATAGGTGTGCTTTGGGGTTTTTATGTTATTGACAATTTTGTAATGCAGCCGCAAGAATTAAATTCCAGCGTTTCGCTTCGGGGGAGGGGAGGGGTGCCAACACCCGAACAACATGGCAGTAATTAAACAATGACATGTTTCAAGACTTGTATAGACTATCGCTATTTCACAAAATGTTGATTTACAAAATTTTTACAAAAAATTCCTACCATATTTAGTAATTGGCACTGTCAATTACTTTTTTTTTTTAGCCAGCTCGGTTTTAGAGTTTCTTTAAGAGCCGAAAAGTAGGTTTCATTAATTAAACAATGAAAGCGAAAAAAAGGTTATGCCATATAATTCCTACAAATGTAATGTAAAACTATTTTACATGTGGTACAGTTAGCGAATCCACGCCAAGATTAAGAGCTTGTTGCCATCACTGCGATTTTGTTACAGGTGCTCCTTGATAAAATCCGCTCAGCACGAGAAGAATAGTGAGGTGCAGTTACTGAAAGATTATGAGATAAACTGCTCTTTCTTTCACTTTGTGTATTCCCTCTTCAGAAATATCAACAACTCGCGTGGTGGTCGTTTGAAGAGTGGTGCTTTCCTGTTCACGTTATAATTGTTTCACCGCAAAATATGTCTTAATCCTCGACCAATCAGAGCGCGTATATCCTCATAACCACCTTACCTGAGAAATCAATAAACATTAATTTTTCGCATGAAGTAACTCCACAGCGAATTTGTTCTTTCCAAAGAAGATTCACGGATTTTCGGTTATTTCTTGAGAGAAGCGTTTTTCTTTCTTTCTTCATCTCTTTCATTCTTCCTCTTTTTTTCAAAACTGGACAACGAAAGGCTATTTCATGCTGGAAAATACTTCGGAAAAGCCATATGCTCGCCGGGCTAGCGGACGAATGATGGATATCATTGCGGCTTTGGTGATTTTTCTTGATGAAAGTTAGTGAAGGAAGAGTGAGAAGACTATTTTCATTTAGGTCAGGTCGTCTGTGGTTTCTTGGTATTTATGCTTTTAAAATCATCTCACTGATATTGTATATCGTCGAAAAATTCTCTTCATTTAATTGGCAATAACTCCAACTCTTCACCTCTATGGTTTTTAATGATTATTGTAAAATCATACCACGGAGCAGCAAAATTGCCTCCTGAAATCAACTACAGTGTGTTTGGTTTCAATTAGTGCTCGTTTCATGATCGGCTTCTAGTCTTTGAATGAGATGTCTTTGTTAAGAAACCATGGGTAAACTTTTTCCATCAGTTTGTTCTAACCTACGATACTGTGCAATCAATCTCGAATAAGGATTACACTGATTGCACGATTAAAAATGTCTTTGAAGCCTGAATTCTACTGTTAGTCTGATGCATTCTCATTGAAAGTAGACAAATTCAACAGTGCCACTTAGATTCATTGACAGATGCAAAAAAACTAACAGCGTTTGTCGCGTTCATATTGAAAATAAGGAAAATAGCTTTCTTTACTTGCTCCTTTATTCCTTTAACTCCCAAGATCTCATTAGTAATTCTTCTTACTGTCTACCATATAGTTCTTGTGATGTCAGTTTAGAGAATTTGGTATTGGATCAATTAATAATCCCCTAATTCATGTTTTTCTTTATTCTCGTCACTTGTCTGCTTGATATTGTAATGATGCTGGAAGGAGAAATTCTGTCTTGGTCACACATGATAATTAAAGGGTTAAGTTGTTCTGTTCTAGTTTAAGGTGATTTGTTATATCCTGGCAAAAATCAAACTAATGACAGCCCAACACGAAAGCTTTTAATTTGACGGTCCCCGTGTGAGGTATTTTCACTCATGATCATTTCTCTGTGAGAGGCCCGCAGAAAAACATAAATGGTTCATATCATAATCATTTGTACTTCCTTTGGCCCCTTAACCGATGGTTAAGTAAACAATTAACAATATATTTGAATACGTTCGTTCAGGAGATTTGTGTGATGCCTCAGGGTTGATGAGTAAACAGTCGGTGCCTAACACAAGATCGGCACATCACACTTTAATGCGGTTGGTGGCTGGCAGAGGAAGCAATCTGAACATGGATTTCTCTTTAACCTAAAACTCTCATCATCGTTGCTAACATTAGGGAGAAGTACTAGATATTGAGCTTAGCTCGTGTCAAGTTTTCCTGTGAGATACAAGACTGCAGCAAATTATCAAGTAGTTTCTAAAGAAATGGTTGTACTCAGTCTGGAGGGATCATTTTGATCGAGCTGGCTGAAGTAACAATTTTCTTTGAAATATTATCTTAATGTGGGGCTCGGAAAATTTAATTAACTTAGTTAAACAGGAAATCATACGGTCAATATCCCGGGTGAAAAATTACAACACCGCATCACGTAATACTTACAAAGATTTCTAGTACAGTATCTCTAAATTGCCAAAAAAAAAAAGTACTGTGCGATATTGTGAGTGTGCGAAAACAGCTCCGAGAGAAGTGGATTTCAATCGGGTTACAGCTTTTACGGCTAAAGGTTAAAATTTTGGCCAATTTTTGGCTAACAGTCAACATCTTTCCATTGTTGTCACCAGAAATATGTTTTTGTGTGAACTTTTTTAACGCCTAACGGTTAAACTTTATGGCTGTTTTACGGCTAGCGGTTAATCCCATTGAGACCCTCTTAGAAAATCACCTTATGACTAAAACAAGTTTGTCTTCTGGTGTCGAGAATAGTTGATGGAAGCAATCTTATTTTTGCAAAGGTGATCAAATGTTGCTTCAGACTGCATGTTTTTAATTTCGCCGTCTTTGAATACCAACCACAACATCAGTCACGGCAATTTAACACCGTCTGCTTTGTAAGCCAATATTGCCTCTTAAATGAAGTTTTGGCAGATATTGATGTTAACGCCTCTTGTGAATGAAATTAAATTAACCTGGTTGAGTTTAGACCACTTGTGTTTGGGAGTTTTGAGGAGAGCATAATCGTGGGCGTCCAACACACTCGAAAGTTAAAATACACTGCTTTCATTCTGATTTCAGGCGACAAAAACCATGACGAAGAGGATATTTCTGTGTCTTTCACTTGTTGCGTTGGTGGACCAAATCATGGGTGAGTAGAAAATTAGTCAGCATAAAAAGCGAACTCGGAAAACTTAACGCCACTGGAATGAGCTCAGAAAAGAAGCCTCTAACTTGTACGTACAAAAACCTTTTCTTTGTTCCACTTCAGTTATACGAGCTAATATTTCTCTGGTAGAGCTCTTCCACGCTATTAATTTTCAATTTCACGCCTTTCTCCAGGGTTTCTTATTAAATTGATCAAGAACTCTGCAATAGGTTTTCCTTATAACTTGTAAGTTCGTCATTCGTTCACATTCATCTCCCCCTCCCCCCCCTACCCAATTTATAAAAAATATCAAATCTGTTTTTCATTTAAGAAATATGTAATTAATGAAAAATTGAATTAAGAAAAGGTATTTTAGTCGAGCGCCATATGTCATTTCCGGAAACACTTAAAATTAACTGTTAATTGCGAAATGTTAAAGGAGAACTGAAGTCCAAATTCATGTAATTTTTTTCACCGTGTATCGTACATTTATGTATGATGGAACAAATTTCCGTCATTTTTTTTCCCTCTAACGACAGTTTTCATCCAGAAAACGAAGGGTTTTTAGTGATAATTGGCTCGACATTTGACTGTGGTACGTCGGCTCAGAACACGAATGTCAGCGGTTCTTTTTGTAGCGTGTGACGTAGGTTATGGGGATGAAGGTAAACACAGCAAGAAACAGGCAAGTTGAATTCAGAACTGCGGCTTGCTCGTGGGAAAGAATTTGTGGTTTTCCAGGAGTAAAGATTGTGCAAGGTGAAGCAAAAAATGATTCAATCGCCTCTCATATAAGAAAATTGGTCTTCTGTCCAGGGATTGTGTAAGAGAAAAATATTTTGGCTTTCGTAACCCTGTGTCTCTGAAACGTAGTTACGTGTCCAGATCATGTGCGGCGCATCTTTTATACTTGGATTGACCTCGATGTTTTCGGAATAGGGTCTCCACTTTAATTTTTCTTACATACTGGTAATTTAAGATATTTCATCTTCCATTCTGTTTCCCATTTTTTGTTATTTACCTTTTTTAACATTAGTTTGCAACGCGTTTGTAGTCTGGATTTTGCAATGGCATGTACGATAACGCACGCTGTTAACAATGTCGCAAGAAGTCCAAAACGAAATAAAATTTTGAAATTCGTGTTGAACTTTGGTTTATAAGTTTTCTATAATGGGTTAAATTCTTGGCTTACGCAAGAAAGGATGTACAAATACGGAAGCCCGAGTTGTTTGAGTTTATTCTTCTATCTGTTCTTGGCGGTTGAGTAGCCCTCGTTGCTACATTTACTTCGATTACTTTCGAGCTAAAAAATGGTATACTGCGCGGCGTTCGATTGTAACAACGACTCGAGGTACACAACTGGTATATCCTACCATTGCTTTCCGAGGGATGAAGCTCTACGATCACAGTGGCTGGCAAAGATCTCACGAGCGGATCTGGTCGTTTCGAAAAACTCCAGGCTGTGCTCAGAACATTTTACACCTGACTGCTACGAACGAGACTTGAAAGCAGAAATTCTTGGTTTGAAACCCAGATCTACGCTAAAACCAGGTGCAATACCCACGGTTTTTTCGCATCGGAGACCATCAAAAAGACCTCGACTTTCATCGGAGAAACGTTCAGAAGAGAAAGTCAGAAAAGAAGTAAGTGAATCGCGAATTACTCTCTTGTATCTGGGTTGGGTTGTTGCAAAGCTTGGGTTGTTGCAAACTCTTGAAGCTGCTCATCATTTATGCATGATTGATACAAAAAAAAAATTGAAGGGTGAATGCAGTTTGAGGGCAATAACAATTTATATCTTAAGGGATATCACCCGAATAGGTTCCATTGAGAAACATTAAATTTTCACAGAAAAGTATTTCTTCTCCTTAAGCAAAACAATATCCTGCCATGGAATTCCTTCTAGTTTCATGTTTTTTTTTTCTGAGTCATCTTTGTACTTCATCTCTCCTGAAAATGTTTGACCAGTAGGTAAACAAAATTAAATTGTTTCAGAATAAAGTGATTATTCTTTAATTCTAGGAACATTATACCTGTCCCTTGTTAACTAGCAGGTGAATAAAATTAGTACAAATAGACTATATGTAAGTTGTGGATATTATTCTTTAAATAATGAATTCTTTTAACCTTCTTTACCTCTATGTGAATAAAAACTTAATACAACTGGAAATTCTAAGTTAAAACCAGTGCAGGCTTTCAACCAAAGGAGGGCAGGGTCAGGTGTTATATTTTCCAAGAAAATCCCATTGAATCATTGTGTAACCATATAGTAGCATAGTTTATCCCTCATACCCACATTTTTCATTCTCTCAAAGGGTCACTAACCCATACCATAACAGAGTTAATATTTTTTCTGTTATAGTATATAGCCTCTATCACTGCACAACCTAGTTGTGGAATTGAAGAACATGCAGCTTCAGCTTTAGAACAGCCTGCACCTGTTGATGTAGTGAATTGTGGAGCAAGTACATCAACCTCAGACAGCCCATCATATCCATTCCCACATGATTTAGGGCCTAAAAGCACGTTGGTTGAGTCACAAGCAGTGCAGGTGAATTTGCCAAACAAGGGTGTGGATTTTGGGATCCAAGTCAATCTTCGTGGTCTTCATTTAATGATGAAATCTACTGACACCCAAGTCGAGGTTGATGTTTCAGAAAGCAGCACCCAGACTGAAGAGGTATTCCTTCCTGAAATTGAAGATAACAAGGGAGAAGCAACTGAAGCTGCTGCTTCCCCAGAAGTCTCTCCAAGAAAAGATGGCATCTACCTTCCCACAAAACAGGAAGATTCAGATGATTCGAACTTGTCAGGATCAGACAACGAACACCAAGGGGAAACAAAATGCGAAAAGCCACAGGATGATACCAAATACATTGTATTTAAACAAGAGCTATTTAAATTGTTTAAGTACTGTCCTGAGTGTGGTGCAGTTGTGATTAAGAGGAACCAATCCACACAAGGAAGCCAACTATTTGTCACCCTAGAATGTATGAATAATCATAAGTACTCCTGGCAAAGCCAGCCAATGCTTGAGGGGATGGCAGCTGGAAATTTGTTGCTGTCATCATCTATTTTGCTCAGTGGCTCTACCTTTACAAAAGTAGCATCTTTGGCAGATATCTTAAATTTGAAAATTTTCAGTGAGAAAACATTTTATAATATTCAAAACAAGTACTTATTACCCGTAATCAATGAGTTCTGGCTTAAAGAACAAAATTCCACTTTTTCTGAGGTAGGGGGACGAGATCTGTGGCTTTCAGGGGATGGGCGTTGTGACAGTCCTGGCCATAATGCAAAATATGGGACATATACCATGATTGATCAGAAAACTGATAAGATTGTTGACTTCAAGGTTGTTCAGGTCAGTGAAGTAAATAATAGCAATGCCATGGAAAGAGAGGGTTTTAAACGCTGTATGGAAAACATCTATGAAAAAGGGGGGAAAATTATGGTTGTTGCAACTGACCGTCATGTGGGCATTAGGGCTGACATGAAAAGAAATTTCCCTGAAGTTGATCATCAATTTGATGTGTGGCACCTTTCCAAGAGTATAACTAAAAAGTTAACTGAAAAAGCAAAGAAGAGAGAATGTGCTGATCTCTCTCTCTGGATCAGATCCATCTCAAACCACCTTTGGTGGTGTGCCAAAACATGTGGGGGAGACAAGGAGATGTTGAGAGAGAAGTGGATATCCATTGTCTATCACACTGCCAATATCCACTCCTGGGATTCAGCTGACCTGTATGAGGAATGTGCCCACCAACCAATCCCTCCAGCTATCGCAAGAACTAAAAGGTGGCTTAGGCCTGGCTCCTCTGCTCATAATGCATTGAAGGAGGTTGTATTCGATAAAAATCTGTTGAAGGACATTCAGCAACTAACACTAAGTTGTCATACTGGCAATTTAGAGGTGTACCATAGTGTGCAGACCAAATATGCACCCAAACGGCAGCACTTCTCTTATAATGGCATGGTTGCTCGAACTCAGTTGGCAGCCCTAGACCATAATGCCAACACTGGTAGACAACAAGCCACTGTATCCAGGGGTGCCAACCAAGGGGAGCTGCAATATAAGGTGGTGTTTCCGAAAAATACAAAAGAATGGGTGGCGAAGCCCATATTTGAGAAGACAACCAATTATCATCTCAAGCCAATGCTTAATGCCATTGTAGAGAGAAAATGCTTAAAACCACAAGAGAGGAGTGCAACAGTCACAGCACCACACATTCCTGTAAACATTGCCAGCAAACCCCGCCCTCCTAAAGCAGATGTCATTGCTAATCATACTTCGAGATTTTTGAATAATTAAATACAACAACTTTGTCAATAACACAATCAAATGAAAATAAAAGCAATCATCGTAGCAAAAAGCAATCAAAGTTAGGTTTGAGGTTTATTTCATTCAGGCCACGCAGCTATCCCTGGCAATGTGGATAATTTAATAACTGCAGTAGGGATGACATTCGTTTGGCTCTGCATGGCTTTTGACTGAATCACTATGCAGAAATGTGTTAGTAATTCATATCCTCGATAAGTAATTGTATATTTCACGCAAATTTTAGAAAGAAACCGTAACATAAGGAAAGAAGAGCCTCTGGTGTTATACACGCAAAGGATATGTTACTAATCATTATTAAAGGACATTACGGATAAAGTTCAAAGTTCCAGATCTGCTTCTCGAAACCCCACGTAATTACCACTCTCTTCTGGAAATGTTTTACGTATGGCCGTGACGACGCATGCTGGCACGATTCTCCGCCGGTTTTTTCCTAATACCCCATGTGCCCACCAAGTAAATTGTCTGTAGGCTGCCAAACGCCAAGTTCTAGAGAACAAGAGGATATAAAGTCACAAAAGCGATTGACTTAATTACGCGTACAAAATAAGAAAGAAAAAGACAGTTTACCTGTTGACGATAGGGTCGGGAATTGGATTGAGCCGCGCATTGTGGATAGCAACCAATGCCGTGCTCAAAACATCCGTGTCCAGGCACACAATACCAAATTTCGGATGTTCTGTTATACATCTAACACCTATCAAGAAGAAAAAAGTCTTAACATTTTATTTCCCTCACTGTTTCAATAATTTTCATCCATCAGACCTTGTAATTGCAATTACAACTAAGATCGAGTTTGCAATTGTCCACCTTTTGTCACTCTTAGAAGAGAAGCGGTCGCTTCAAACAAAATACTCGTGAGAATAATCACATAATAAGTACAAACCTGAATTGTCGAACTTTTGATTAAGCTCCTCTAGTTCTTGGCAGCAGTAACATTCATTTGCCACCGGCATAAGCGCACAAGCGCCGCACAAACACCATTCGGTGTTTCCCATCCTCGAAGTATTGTCTTCTTCGTGGGCTTCTACCTCCTGTCCTACACTCTCTTCCTGAGGTGGTTCTTCTCCAGGCTGATATACTGGTTCGAACTGAAATGGTTCTATTCCGCTCATAACGAAGGGTCGACGAAGACGCAATTTGTATTAAAACTTAGCTGAACGATAACACGTTCTAAAGTGATCCCCATAACATACGTCACAGGCTCATTTGGAAGACCGCTGATTTAAAATTGGTGCCCACGGTTTGAAAGCCGAAACAGCGCGAAAATACAAACTTTAAAGAAATATTTCTCCAAGGTAAGACACATTTAGCACAAATAACGCTTGAAATCGAGAATTTCGTCACTTTGGCTATCGAAAGAAATTAACTCAATTTTTGGCTTCAGTTCTCCTTTAACCATAGAGGGATTCTAGAATTTACGAATGGTGGTTAACACTAGTTATTGACATATTAATGAACTAAACAGTCGAACTGATTTCTTCCCTGATCCAAACTTAGGTATTGTAAATTGCTGACCCCTGATGGTCGGTTATTTTTTCCTTTCATAGTCACGCAAAGTGTCCGATTTAATTACGGATAAATGTTTTCTATAGTGGATTCCAGTTGTACAATGTCTATAATCTATAGTCTACCATCCATATTAATGGACTTGATGGTCAAGTTATGTTGACTTTTGTTTAAAATATTACCCTGTAACGAACAAAGTCTTGCATTCCTTCTCTCGTTGATGGTTCTGCTATCGTCACGGACTAAATTTTTAGCTTGAAATGTATTTTTGAAGTTCAGAACTGAATGGTACATCGGTGGCGTATTTTTTTAGAAAAGTTCTTAAATGATGAAACGTTCTTAAATGATGTGTTATCAAAACCTATCGAATGCATGAAAAAGTATCCATGTGAGTTTAAAAGTAGATCACCCGTATCTCTCAGTTAGTAAGCGCACCTAGATTGGTCAATTCAACCTGCCGTATTTCACTGTCCGGCCCGCTAAATTGAATACATATAATAAATATCTTACTAACCTCGTTTTTCTCGGTCCATACTGTAAGTTACGGAACCTCTAACTCGGTGAGTAAGAACTACTTACAACTTGTGATAATTGCTCTTAGGGATCTCTGTATGTCCTTCTCGTGAGATTCAGGCCACTCGAGGGGAAGTCACTTCACCGAATTTTCCAAATGCCTACCCTCCTGATGTAAACTGTGCTCTGACCATTGATGGTGGAAACAGTGTTAAAATCAAGCTGAAGTTTGAACATTTTGAAGTTGAAGAAGACGATAATGGTAAGTGCATTATAAACTAAACTTTTTCATTTGCATTTTTTGTTAAAAGTCTTTTAAATATCAAGTTGTGCTAAATTTCTAATGTTGGCATAACTTTCTAAAGGTATTATTAACCCTTTAACTCCCAAGATCTGGTTGTGAATTCTCCCCTCTAGCTGCTGTGCATTTCCTTGTAAATTAGTTACAAGAAATTGGTGTTAGATCAACAGAGCAATTTCTACATTATAAGTTTAAGCATTCTCATTACCTGTTGGCTGAATAATGTATGGACACTACAGGGAGAAGTTACATGTTAATCAAATCTGGTAGTTAGGGGGCTAATCAAGAACGTATCGCTAATAGCATGGCTCAATTTCTTCGTAGAAATTTCCAATTTAGATGTAATATTCCTCGCATACATGGAATTAATACCGTGGCCGACAGCACAGCAAACAATTGGCTTTTGCGTCGCTTTAAGGCGCGTTGCGCACTCCTCTAATAACTTATGTGTGAGCTTACGAGAGTAAACATTTTTTACCCGAGCGAAGATTTAAACTGTAAACATATAACTTATTTCGTAGATCCAAACGAGTGTAACTATGACGCTGTGATCATCATCGATGGCCCAAGAACCTCTCGATACTGTGGCAGAAGAACTCCCCCGGAGTATACATCGACAGGAAATAAGATTTCCATCGGCTTTGAGTCGGACGATAGTTTTGAGATTAAAGGTTTCAACATCTCGTTCACCTCCTTCGCTGTTGAGACAGATCGTAAGTAAAATTGATGCATGATTTTCTATCTATTTTCCTCCTTTCTCTTGCTTTGTGAGGGTAACTGGTCACTTCAACGACAACCAACTCGCGAACACCTTCGGTCAACTCGCCCACGCCTAAAATCAACTCGCCCTCAGTTGGCAAGTTGAGTACCCGGCCACTTCGAGTAGACCAAAGGTGTCGGCGAGTCGACCAATGGTGTTGCCGAGTTGGTTATCGGCGGGTTGACATGTCGGCGAGGTGACAAATGCTCAAAATGAACATCTGCCGAACGCTTCATTTCCTTAACATTCAAGATTAAATGTTTTAACTGAGAAGCTCGGGCATGAGGGAACACTCTCTTGTGGGTATGGAGAAGCTGATATTGTAGTGTATGGTATAACATAGTGTGGTACGGTTCAGTACGTTATGGGTTCGTTTTGGTGCGATACGGGTATCTTTCGATATGATATAGTACGATTCGGTACGGTAAGGGTATGTTTCGGTACGATATGGTACGGTTCGGTACGATATGGATATGTTTCGGTCCGATATGGTACGATTCGGTACGATATGGGTATGTTTCGGTACAATATGGTAGGGTTCAGTGCGATACGGGTATGTTTTGGTCCGATAAGGTACGATTCGGTACGATATGGGTATGTATCGGCACGATACGGTACGGTTCTGAATGACACGGGTACGTTTCGGTACGATGTGGTATGGTTCGGTACGATACGGTTCGGTACGATACGGGTATATTTCGGTGCGATGTGGTATGGCTCGGTACGATACGGGTATATTTCAGAGTGATGTGGTGTAGTAGGTTATGGTTCGGCTCGTTTCGGCGCAATACGCCCAGGTATGGAATAATAAGACGCGCTCAGCGAACTATGTGTTACGGCATGCTCCGATACCATACAAAAAGCAAAAACAAGTCAACCAGGATCATCTTCAATACTCAATTGAATACTACTTTATTCCGAAGTTTCTGATTTGGATAATGTTTTTCCTTCATTGTATTTTTCAGCACCAAAAGGCTCTGACATTTGTCCCACAAGAGAAATTAAGATCAAGCCTGACTCGCCAGAAACAATGAAAGGAGCGCTTTATTCACCAAATTTTCCCAACTTTTATCCAAACGACCAGAGCTGCACATTAACTTTGGACGTACCTGATAACTACAAGGCTGTTGTCTCGTTCCAGAAGTTTTCTTTGCAATGTAAGAACAATTCCTGCTTTGTTATCAGTATGTGAAAAACTTTGCAAGGAGTATTTTTCCCGAAAAAAACTTGGCAAGTTTCTCATATATATTTTATTGTTTTGCTCCGTAGATTCTGGAACGTGCGATTTTGACAAGTTAGTGGTTAGTGACGAGAGCGACAGTGATACACAGTGCGGGGGGGGCGCAGACCGGCTCCCTCCTTTAATAGAGAAAAAAGGAAGGGAAGTCAAGTTTTCTTTCACCACTGATAGTTCAACAACATCAACAGGATTCCAGTTGGAGTATAACATCACTCGTCTTGAAGAAGGTGAAATACCGGTATTTAAACGTGTATTACTGGAAAGGTTCGTCTGCGATCTAAGCTGCGTAGCAAGGGCTTGCATGGCAAAGCACACCAGTAGCACACTCGTGGGCCGGCTTCTGCGCGCGTGACTTGACACTTTTCATTGTCTGCGGTCAAGTACATTTTCTTTTGCCTGAGCGGGGGGGGGGGGGGGGGAATAACGAGGATTTTGTTTGTGACTAAAAGGATTTACCTGATCCCCTATTAAACTCTGAAGTATTCTAACGATCTCCCCTCATTGGCAGTTGGGTTGTTCATGATCAGTTGCGCATGGTGGTTATGCGCAAATACCAATATCAAAAATCTATGTAGGTGGTATAATTATATTTTATAGCATAGTATTTACCGCTTCATGAAAAAAAACTTTTAAATAGACGTGAACAACTACTGTAGATCAAGTTCATTTTATAACAGTACAACTACTGATCTTATTCAAGTGCAACTTTCGCTTTGAATACATGTTTTCTATATTCTGCAATATTAACAATTGACTCTATCAGAGAAGCGCAGCCTGTATAGCCAGGCTCCTAAAGGGAGTAAGAAAAGAGAGGCTGGAGTGTGATAGGGATGAAAGAAGCTCTCATGTATCTACAGTTCCACCTTCATACTCTGACTGACTTCTCTTCCGCCCTCTCCCCCGGAAATCATGTGATATCAAAGAAAATCCCCCGACCCCCTCCCCTGCGATAAATAATGACAGATTCCTAAATTTTTGTTGGCTGAACAGGTCGGTGTGTGTGTACCACTGGATTGGGTTATACAACCATTGCAAACTTCAAACCAAGAAATGACAGAAAGCACGATGATATCCGCTTTGAGTTTAAAAGTACTCAATCGAGTGGAATGATCATGTATGCCAAAGGATACTACAAGGATTACATTTACATTGGTTACAAGGATAGCAATGTTTTTATGTACCACATTGAGCTGGGCACAGGTACTAAGCCTTAATCCTTTACACCCTACATCAGTATGCATAATCTCCATTCTGTTCTCTATACATTCCCTAAGGAGCTGATAAGGAGAATTTGTTTGATAATCAAGAGCTTCTTTAGTCGGTGATTAGTTCCGTTACTCTCGTGACCCTAATATGTGTTTCATGGGTGATACTGTAAGGAGATTTTTAGATGCTGGTCACTTTTTTAGCATTTTTCAGCATTGTCCAGTTTGAAAGTGTGGATGGCTGTTTATGAAGGAGTACTGAGTTAAAGAAACTTTCATGCTACTTCTTTCTTCCACCTTTTCTCCCAAATTTTCTTTTTATCTGTTAGTACAACAAACGTTTCGTATTTAATAGAAGCTGATTCGTTGGGCAAATTGTTTCATAGGAACAAAAAGGATGGAGACAAAGAACTTGAAACTAAACGACGATAACTGGCACAAGGTCCACCTGACCCGCGCCGACCGATTGCTTACCATCAGCATTGACGACGTAACTCGTGAGTAGACTGCTTTTCTCATTGCTTCTTATTGTAAAGAACAGTGAGCCAACTTGTAAGCCAAGAGTATACCGAATATTTCAGGTTGCGAGATTAGTAGAAGAGCATTTTTCAATTGAGTGTTGAAAGTTATCCAAGATTGGATTGGATATGCTTTACTTCGCTCCTTGGTCTAGAAAACTGGTGCTACCCTTTCAACCAATCAGATTCAAAACTTAAACCAATCACGACTTGGTCGCCTACGTTTTCCCGCGCTTTAGAAAATTTGGTTATTTTTACCTTGAGTTCTCATTGGCCATTTGCGATACTTTCCTTTCTTCTGCCTGGCCGTCGTGATTTAAAGACATTCAATCGAAAAGCGCCCCAAAAGTATGTCATCAGAAAACACCTTCAAGGAAATTCAAGGAAACTGCAGTTTTCATAGATATTTAAAAGCGCAGAACCCAAGGTTATCGTCTAGCACAAACAATATTCTTGGACAGATAAGTTTTTCTTTCTTAAGGCCGCAGGTACAAATCACTTGTTGCTCTTCAGGAGTGAAGAAAGCCGCACACGTCGCTTCTCGGTTGAAACAAACGAGAATAGTTTTCCCTTGGTTGAAGCCATAGAGAACGAACGATAGGATGTTTTACTTTCACACGCATTCTGCGTTGATTGACAACAAAATCTTTTATATTTTGTCTCTTCAGTCTCTGGACAAGCTCCAGGAGGTTACAATCGTCTTGATATACCAACCGCAACAGCATATTTCCTGGGAGCTCCAACGAGGTTGAACCTGGAACCTAATTTCATTGGCTGCATCCGGGATTTTACGGTCGATGGATATGAGCCACTAACAAACGCCTGGGTAGGAAAGCCAGACTATTCGATAGTGGGCAAAAGTTCTATGAGACAATGCAGCTAATTATGAGAAATAAGACGGAACATCCTGGCTTGAGGGATTTGTTAACATCATTTTCTTTAATCGATTGTAGTCACGCATTTGTTAGATTTTTTGATAACGCCAAAGAGGCTCACATTATATTATAATCAGGGAAAAAAACATTTACCATGCTTGAATCTTATTCGGAGAATAGGATTACGATGACTGTTTAAACGCCTTTAGGGACTGTTCATTAATTATTGCTTGGGAGAGAGGGAGAAGGGTACAGGATTTTGATTGTATCACAATATAAAAACTTACCTGTTCCCCCCCATAGGGCTGTGTGGTTTTCTAATAACATCCTCCCCCCTCCCCCCCCCCCAAAAAAAAAGATGTGGAGTCAATTTTCTATGGCCACCCTCAAAATTCTGTCAGAGACAACTGATTCCTTCTCTATCCCCCTGAAAACCAAGTGATCCTCCCAAAATCCTCTGATGCCCCCCAAGCTATAAATAGCGATTGGTCTGTTAACAGGTCTCCCTTAGAGAATCATTGAGTTCTTTAAGTATAACTCTTTAGCTCATTTTTAATGTAATATTGCATTGTTAATATGCTGCTAATGCTTTAGAATTGTACAAAGAAAGTTGTAGTAAGGCTGTTGCTTTTGTTAAAAAGAGAGACCATCAGTTATTAAACTATTGGTTGAGTTGAATATTGTAAATCTCTTGGAGGAGGGGAGGAGGGTAGAACCTCATACAAAGAAGGCAAGCCTCTGCAAGCCAAATTCCTCTTAACAGTGGACTCCCCTGAGCCTTACAAAGGTTCTTTATCCATCAGATGAGTTTTCTGCATGTATGTCTGCATTGCTCTAAACATACATGTAAGGTTTGTGACAAGTGAAACTTCCTCGAGTTGCTTTCCAATATGCCAGCCTGTCAACAAGTAGGTTCGTCTCGTTTGAGGATAATATTCAAAACTGCAGTGAAAAGCAATAAAAACTGGAAGATGGAAGAAGTTAGCGATCAAATCTAACAATGATATTCGACCACAGCTGCATTAAATATCATTCAGCAAATACCGAACAACCATGGCATTACCTCCACTAGCTTTACTGGGTACGGGTATAATGTGATAGCAGAAAATACTTTTTCTCAATTTCAGCAAAAAATAATGGAGAATTTCGCTCAAAACCACATGATTACAGAATGGTAATAACTACTTTGTGCACCCTGATTCCAATAGGCTAGGTGAAATCTAATGCACAGTGTCACACCTTTTGCATAGGGCACAAAAAAGTTTACAAGGGTGAGAAAAGGATCATTTGAGCACAAAATCTAATTTATAATTTGAAAGGGGGGGGGGCAAGGTTTTTTCTTTGTTGCAAAACAAAAAATTTGTTTTAGATGGACACCCTTCTGTCCATAAGCATTTCCCCATTTTGGCCAAAATGTTAATGAAGAGGTGCTTATTCCATGAAAAACAGTATCCTCTGTTTTACAATAGACAATATTTCCCAAACTTAGTTTCACAAAAAAATTCTTCAAGGCTTTGGAATCTTGTAGTTCATAGTAAATGTGTATGATTACATCGACATCCAGTATAAGTAACTTACATGTTTATTTCCCTTCATTCAACCTTTCTATACCACATGTTTGTTTTAGCTAATGGTTAGATAAGGACTTGGCTTATGCAAAAATTATAGTAATATTTTTTTTAATGTACTGTTGCCACAACATATGCAGTAGTACCTCAGTAGAGGAGAGGTATGCAATTGGTGTATGCAACACCATTATACAAAAGTATACCTCTAACTTGAGCTGTGGCCCTCTTGAAAGTAAGCAAACCCTGACTCATCCAAATTACAAGATTAAATACCTCTAAAATCCTGCCTATACCATTGTGGTTTTAAAAAAATGTTGTTCCCTGTTTTTGGCTGACTCAAATCTTTGAGAACAGAATAAAATGTTTTTTTACTAATAGATGAGCTTGAAACTAGCAAGCTTATAAGTAAGGAAGCTTAGAACTATGATTTATTTAACAAATAGAGAAGCCTTGACTGTGCTCTGTTCTGTTATAGAACATGCAGGAAGCAGCTAGAGTATGAAAGAAGTGTAGGGAGAAACACGAGACATAGTTGAGTGTTTCCCCCACTTCTTGAGTGCTCTAGCCGCTTCCTAAGTGCTTTACAACAGAACAGAGCACAGTCAAGGCTTCTCTATTTGTTTTATAATAAAGAATTCATTAAATTCCCCAAGAATTACTTTCAATTTTCAAAACAAACTTTATTTTCAAAGCGAACAACAATGTCATCAGCATGCTCTATACTCTCATAAAGCATGCTACAATAAGCCAATCAGAATCCCTGTTAGAATGGTTCAAGTAATCTGATTGGCTGTACAAGACAAAAGCTGTCAAAAGTGTCAAACCATCAAAGTTAAAAAACCATCAAAGTTCACAATCTGCGATAGTTTACAAACTAAATAGTTTGGCAAGTTGAATTTAACACTTTTGCCTGAAGTTTCTATGTCTCTAGTATAGAATCTTGAAGTGAAATGTTCAGTGAACTTCAGCTGAATAAAAAACAAAAAAATAAAAAAAACAGCTCATAAAAACACGCAAGTTTTTTCATACGACAAGGTAGAAAACAAACTGTGCAAGGCGAGTGTTTTTTGAATGAACGACAGCCGAATTCACCAGAACATGAAGATCGCTCGGGATGACAGGGATTACTGTAGTTATGACCAGAGATCGTCATGATGAGCAAGCCGCAATGGACTTCAGCATGATCATATTCGCTTTGACACCGTTATGATTAGTATGAATTTTAACAGTTATGCCAGTTTGGTTATATTTTTCATCATTTCTGTTTTGTTCTGTTTTGTTTTTGAACACTGAACTTTATATACTATATGAGTGTTAGCTGTTTGATTTTTATTACCGTATGTAAGCTTGCAATCTAACTGAACATGAAAATGTTTAAAACTTGGAATGTCTATTTTGTTTTTCCTTTGAGGATTTTCCTATCTGCTCATGTTTTAATAACATAAATTACAGCACCTGGTATTTTTACAAACGTTTGTTTGGTTCTTCTGTTGCTACTTGCCAGCTCGCTGGTTTTGAAATTTCACTTTCAATTATTGAAAAAAGCTAAAAAAAAGTCCCGCAAAAGGTCAAACATTACAATTTGGGAGATGGCATGACAGCTTTAGCTCAGTTCTATGCTCTATACTCTCATAGAGCATGCTCTTTCAACAAATGACAGCATGCGTTATATCCGAACTTTATTATAAATTATGCATGTTGGTCACTTTCCATTTTGGTGAATTAACATAGTGGATTATATACATGTACTGTATCGTGTCAATTATTACATCTCTCTATTACTAAATGCACTACAATTTGTCTTACAATTAGTAAGCTGTATTTAACTCTACAGCCTACTAAATTCAAAAGCTTGTTTTACCGGTAATTGAGATCTACCCTCTCTATTTGAACCTAGAGATATAATAGAGATACTACTAACCTTATTTTCTCAGTCTCTATTGTCAGCTAAGGAATCTTGTTTTTTTTCCCACTCAGACATATGGTTTGCTTTGCTCCAGGGTCATAAAATTGAGCAGAAAAAATTTGGTCTCTAACTTTCAGTACAGATCTCTTACAAAGTTAGTAAGAAGTATGTATATTATTTCAGCCTCTCTAAGAAATGGTGCGGAACACCAAGATTCTTAAGATCTGTATGGAAATTTCTTTTGCCTTGAAGACAACTTGTGACAACTTCCCAGCATCTTTCCACAAGAGGCTGCCAAGCTATACAAAGTCTAAAAACATCATTTGACCTGGTGGCTTCATTAGAATTGATGGTCTTCACACCTCCAAACACATACATGCAGCCTGACGGAGTAACTGCAGCCGAGTGAAAGTAAACAGGGTAAGGCAGAACCTGCATTTGGATCAAAGAAACTAAACTTCAATACAGAGACAATCGGCATACTTGAGGGTCTGCATCATTCCTCTCAGTATTGAGCAAGAGCCAGAAGTAGAACAAAACATAATAGGTGTCAAACTTTTGTAAATTACACCATATGCATATTGTTCAATATGGAGCACAGTATATTTTAAACCTTTCACTCCCAAGATCTCATTGGTAATTCTCCTTACTGTCTGCCATACAATCCTTATTATGTTTTAGTTTTGAATATATTTTTATGGATCAACTAATAATTACTTAACCCTTTAACTCCCAAGATCTGATTGTTAATTCTCCCCTCTAGCTGCTACACATTTCCTTATAAATAAGTTGTGAGAATTTGGTTTTAGATTGAGATAACAAATTCTACCTAATGGATTTGAGAATTCTCATTACTTATTTGCTGGATATTGTAGGGAGAAGTTACTTGTTAGTCACTTCTGAGAGTTAAAGGGTTAATTGGTATTTCTCTCTATTCTCATCACTTGTCTGCTTCATATTATGTTGGTACTGTTGGGAGAAATTCTGTTTTGGCCAATTACAAGAGTTTCAAGAAGGGTTAAAGGTAAAGAACCTCAATCTGTTTTTCTAGATAGTGTCTATTTGAATGGTTGACAAAGCATGAACAAAAGAAGCCTTTTGTTTCTTCCTACAATGAAGCATTTATAAGATCATATTTTTCCTTATCTGACTGTTTTCAAAATTCAGCACAATAAGCTAAAAATAAGTTTTGATGATGTTCGTCATGGTGCCAAATATTGCCTGATTCTTTTTTATCATATTTTGGCCACAGGATCAACATACAGTAATCTTACACAAAAATCTAAAATGTCAACACCCTGTGAGAATATTATTCATGCAAACACTTGGCCATTGTATATCATTTGTTATTCTCCTTGCTGCCTTGTTCCAATTTTGGGTTAATTACACTGTAGGGATCTACTAGTGGTCACTGGTCTATAGAAATAGGTTATTCACCCGGCTTTTTCTTCTTAAGCACCAAATCTAGGGGGTAGGCCCAGCTTAAAAAAAAAAAAAACTTTAATGAGAAAAGCATGTGAACACCTTAGCCCTAGGTGCCTAGTAGTACTCTAAAACTTGGGAAAGGGCGGGACCTGCCCCCAAGTTCGCTGAAAACACTCCAAAGCTCCCTGGTGCGGTACACAGGCTACATGCGGTTGCAAATTAATCATTCTTTCGTATTAAATACCTTGTGGTGTTTTTTCCATTGAAACGTCGCTAGATCAAGGCTCCATATATCATCAAAAATGTTCGACCCGTCATAACCTCCGCAAATGTACACAACTGAATTAAAAATTACACAACCATGACATCTTCTACGCTTAGGAAAACCATGAGTTCGGGAAGGATAGCAAACATGCTCCTCCCATTGTTTAGAACCAAAGTTAAAGGACTGAATTTTCTCCAACTGGAAGAAAATTGCGGGGTCTCGATTGCTCATTCCACCACCGATTACATAAAACCTTTCGCCGTCGGAAACAGATTCATGTCTGTATCGGGGCACAGGAGGATTATGGCTTTTCACATACTCCCAAGTGTGATTGGAGAAGCTGTAACGATATAAATACGAGTTGAATTCTAGTCCCGTTGTACCACCAAAAACATACAATTCCTTGTCCCTGGACAAAACCATACTCTGTCCATAACCAGCAATCGGTGAAACACCTTCCCCATCACTTTCTTCCTTATCAGAATAAGTTTTCGTGAGATCAAACCACTGATGTCTCCTCAAAGAGCACACGTGAAGCTTTTTGCTATTACTCTCGCCAAAAGGAACTCCAGATCCACCAAAGACGATGAGGTTTCCTTTGTCATAGACAAGACAACTTGAGGCTACCTCATTCGGAAAGGGACCGGTAGTATTTACGCAGTGCCATGTTTTGGTAGCGATATTGAAGCGCCATAACTCACGGTAAAGGAAATTTTCGTTATGTGGAGAATAACCTCCAAAAACATACATATTTCCATCATCAGCTGCACATCTATGCCCGCTTCTTGGCTCTGGAACCTGGGAGTTTGCTGCAGGACGAACTGTTTCAAGTAACGTTTCGGATGCCATGTTGTCAATATGAACGCAAAGTACGCTGGGAAATAACACTGGGAAATAACATGACACTTCTTAATAGCTTTCATCGAAAGAGAAACGTTGCCTGCGTCATAATTTAGTTTAAGTGTTACGAAAAAATATTTATTATCATTACAGATGAGAACGAAAAGTTTTGAATAAGCGGCATCATTAAAAATAAAATCTTAAGAAATTATATTCAAAATCTTCCCCACCCCCTCCCTGAAGGTAGAAGTAATGACACGATGGCGGAAAAGATGGCGGCAGATTTGAGTCCAACTGACAACGATACTTTGGAAGCGCTGTTACAGGTTAGTTCTTTGAGAACAGATACGTTTTGATTCTATATTCACATTCTTAACTTAGCAGTAGTTTCAGATCTTGCAGAAAATTGTGTTAATTCTCGTGTCTGCACAAAGACAAGAGAAGAAACTAAATAAACTTACATGGCAACGTGCTTAGCAACAAACATGGGTTACAGTGCTATCATATCTCATACATTGAATATAAGGAACTCTTGAGAGTCAATTTTTACACGTTTGAAATAAGACCAAACATTATCATCAATTTCAAACGCAAATCAAATTGATTTTTCCCAATCCTGCTTGCAGTAGACAAAGCTATTGAGTTTGAACATAGTTAATGTCCTAACAGACTTAAGCCTACCAGTAAAGCATAACACAAGGCCGTTAGTTAAGTGTCTGTTAATATGACAGACATTCACTTGAACAATGACGGCAGAATCATCCATGTTAGGCTTGTAATACGTCTGTAAATCCAGTTTGCATAATTGGTGCCTCAATATCTACTCATACACTTCTGTGGGAGATGTGATACAGCTAAAACCATGCCCAACGGCATTCAATAGCTATAATTTCAGCTGATGCTGTCATGAAAAACTAGGGGAAAACGATTGCCAGTTTGCTGTAGAAATTAATGTATATTTAGTTGTTGAAATACCTTCAGTGAAAGCTCTGCCTACAAGATGGACCCTGCACCTACATGCATGTTACCATAGCTTTGGCCAGTTTCTGTAATATGATGCCACCAGGCCTGGTTATTTAAAGAGTGGATAACTGGATAAAGGGATATCATATTTTCCTTAGTGCCCACACTTTAATAAGCACCCTCCTCCAAATAATGCCCATCCCCAAGGCCATAATGTCAAACAAATGCCCCCTCTCCCCTCACTCTCTTAAATAGCAGTGATACAAGAAAAGCCTGTTTCTATTGCCACTTAATTTATAACTTTTTAAGCTTCAGTTAAAGTGGGATCAGTAAAGGAGAATAACAAGGATCCCCCTCGATTAAGCACCCCCTTCAATAAGCACCCCCCCTCCCTTGAATTTTGAATAAGTATCCAGGCACATATGTGTGGAAATATAGTAAATCACTATCACTATAATTGCTTTTTATGTTGTGTAATAAATGTTATATACTTATGAAAGGACATTATAACTGTCTGTTGTATAATTATATTAATGTGCTAGAAAGAAAAGCTGCATTTTATTGTGTAATTGTTTCCATAAGTGGTTCTGTTTAAATTAATAAAGGGGGTAAGTTCTAAATAAACTGTGGTGCTGCATCAGTAGGAAAGTATAACAGGGTAATTTATTGTTACCAACTGAGTTGAAAATGTAAATTGACCACTGCAAAAAGTTTAAAGGCTGGTGTTTCAAGTGTTAGCCCTTTAGTAGAGCAATTGAAATTTTTCTGTTTAAATTACACTGCCTTCTTATTACATATACTTATTGCAGGGCCTTCAAAGAGATATTAACTGCCTTAGTGATGATAATAGAGGAACAAGAAAGAGAGCCCTGGAAAAGATAACAAAAGAAGTGTTTTCAAAAGCCAAGTTTTCAGCTGCAGTACTTCAAGTTACTTTTGAAGAAATACTTAAACCCATTTTGAAGCTGTTCTCAGATCCAACTGAAAAGTGTCGGGAGCTTTCTGTCCAGATGGTTTCTGAGTAAGTCGTAGAAGTGTTCTATGAAGATGAAAATAAATTTGAGTTTAAAAATTTTAAACTCAAATTTGATTTAGTGAACATGGAATACCCTTTCATTATTCTTAAATTCCAACAGCTGCAAGTACATTTCTGATTATTTCTTTTGACTATATAAAACTACAGAACAGAGTAAAGTGCTTTTTGATTAAGTTGATTGTTTAATCCCCTCTTAAATGAATCCCTCACACTGTGCTCCTCCCACTTTAAATTTAGGACTATCATGCTATTGTTTCTACACCAACTCATCATATGATATAGGTGGACAAATATTTGTGTCTTCTACTAATAGGAAACTTCATATTACAGAGACAATGAAACCCTTACTCTTCCAATTTATTAACTTCAAATATACCTGCTCCTCTCTGTCAACCCTCTCATCCACTGAAATGGGGGAAGGGAGGATGGGGGTTAAAAGGTCAAGCAGTATTTTAGTTTGATGCAAGTCTTTTTCTCTGTGTAGATTTGCAAAGCAAGTTACAGACTTATGGTCATTTCTACCATACATCATCCCAACTGTGGTGCAAAGACTTGGCCAACCAGAGATAGCGGAATCTTGCGAGGAACTGAGGTTGTATTTAGTTGAACTACTGTGTTCTGTGACAGAGATCTGTGGTGAAAAAATTGGTGTATATATCGATGACATGGTAAAGATTCTTCAGAGAACTCTGGTTGATCCATTTCATGATGTGAGGAAGGTTAGTTTTGTCTGAAGTTTATTTATAAATGCCCTTGGAATGTAGCCCAAAGATACTTTTGGTTACATAATAGATTTTCCTTCCTGTTTGACTTGTGAATGGAGGAGGGTATCTTGAAATTAGATCAAGAGTAGCTTTGGGCATTTCTTAAAAAAACAATGATGCTGCTTCTTGAAAAGTGAAAATAAGCATTGATCCACAAGACTAAAATATACAATAATACAAATATACACAAAACCTGACAAATTACTCCACATAAATTACATAACGACAATGATGTAAACATCAACCACAAGTACACAATACAGCCAATGAAATTCACAACCACTTCCAAGTAATTAACACGCAATTGCAATACACAAGAAACAGTATAACAATAAGTTTCATGATAACAGATGCTAAGGGGAGGTCTGCAGTGGTGTAATGGTGGGTGGGCTTGACTCCTGGTAAAGTTACTCTTTTGTGTTTGTGAGTCAGCCATATTGCTCTCACACTTTTGTTCAGAAGCACGGTTATTAAATGCATATTCATTTAGTGAACTGCCAGGGAGACCTGAAAAAATTCTCAGGGTTACATGTACAGACATATCTTTCTATAATGGACTATCAACCTATTTCCTCTCAGACCAACAGTTTTTTGATGTTACAGAAACTAGAATGAACTCTGGCAAAATGAAAAATATGGCTTAAGTTCAGACTCTGTTCATGTAATTTTGCATGTTGCTAATTGTTTTGGTCATTAACTTGTAGAAAGCTATCTTAATACTCAAATGGTTCAATGAAATCTGTGAAATAATTAAACACCAGGTCTTGCCTTCTTGTTCATAGGAAAGTTGCCGTTGTGTCAATGTCTTGGCTGTGGCTGTTCCTGACCAGTTTTACTTTCAAGCTAACTCTTTAGTGAATCCTCTTCTTAAGTCTCTCTCTCATCAGCACTCCAAAGTTAGAGTATCTTGTATACAGGTGAGAGATATTATTTTACAGTTTCTGCAAAAAATTGTACAGCATTGTTGTAGGTTTTTTTCCTTCCCATACTGTAAACTTATTTAGCTTAGTTGGTACAGTAACTGTAACATCCAACTTATTACTTAAGGTGTGCTGGTTTTACTAGGCATCATTTTTCGGGACTTTCCTTCCAACACTCTTTGAATGATATCTTAGTTAAACTGTAAGAATTGATTTGTAGATCATCATTTGCTGATCAGGTGTTTTTTAATTGATAATGATGGTCTTATTACATACATTTATTTATCATTATCATATAACAGGTCATTCAACCCTGTAACTCAGAAATGATTAACATGTAACATCTTGTGATTTTGGTTCATTATTTTGCTAACAGATTATGAGAACATACAAGCTTTACCTTGTCCTTAATTTCTCTTGAAATAAAACATAAATTAGGGCTTATGTTTTGAGGGGTTTCACCTCAGCGTAAGACGAAACTGAAGGAAAAACACAGTCAATGAAAACTGTCTGAAAAGCCACAAAACTCCGTCAACAATTGTTGACTGACCCCCTGTTAGCTTACTCTTGACTTGAACAACTCAGCCCTGGTTTGTGGCTCAGATCTTGGGGGTCACAGAGTTAAGAGATGTCTGAAATAAATTGGTGGCTAATAAACATTCAATTTGATATTATTTTAGACCTTAGGCATTGTTATTAAAGGTGGGGATGGTAAAAATGTGGATGATGTGGTGTCGCATCTTGCACAAAGAACATTTGACAGTGCACCAACTGTAAGAACAGCAGTGACAGGTGTTGTTGGTGATTGGCTCTTAAACCTCAGAGATAGGTCAGTCAAATGGTCTGTAGGAGTAAAAATTTTGACAGGAAAAAATGTAATACATGTAATTAATATGTGAACCACACTGAACCCCATATTTGTGTACCCTGAACATCTTGTACTAATATCTTTTCTCAAACTTTAGGCAAAGTCATCTGAATTTGTAGCAGACTAATTTAATAGTAATAGTACTATGATTTTACTGTGGACATCTTTAACAGCCCAGTCACATACATCCTAAGTCTTTCATTTGAACCAGTATCACTGTCACTCTCACTATCACTGTCTTTGTCATAATCATAATTAGTGTAATTATTATTGGTGTTATAATTTTAACTTGCTATTACCATTTTTAATGGATAAATAAATTATAATTATTGTTATTATGAAATCACGAGCCAATATATCAAATCATAAGATGCTACTCTAAGAACTTTTGTTTCAGTTGAGAGAGTTGCATCATTGGACAAGAAAAAAATATATACTTGTAATAAATATGATTAAAAAGATTTTTACAACTTTAT